TTATATACACTGACTTGGTATGAAAGTTAACACATGCATTTATGCAGTTTAATTAAAATTTTGATTTGCTAACAACTTTTTTCCCAATTGCAAACAGAACAACAACAAAAAACTTCTCTAGATATATTGTAAATGCTTAAAGATTAATTTAGATGCTAAAAATAACAGAAACCACTTCATTTTTGAAGGTCTTGTTTCTCACATTCAAGCAGGCTTACTTGACAATATTTCACACTGTGTAAGTTTGTTTTGCACCTCTAGCCTTTAAACTTCCTTCACAGTTCTCAGAAACATTGTCATCTTTTTTTCTGACGACCCTGGTAAATAATTAAGTTTTTTGATGTAACTGCTTTTACTTACTTTATTTTTTTATTTTAATGGGGTCTATTGGTAATGCTCATGGTTCACAGGGGCGCCCCCAAGGGGTGGCCACAGCCACCCCTGCGCAAGCTGTGGCCACCCCAGTGACTTTGCTGTTGGTATTATTAATTTAAATGTACTTACACAAATGTAAAATATTTCAAAAAATAAATGAATGAATGCATAAATAAATAAAATGCAGCCCCTAAATTATTATGGATTGATTGGTGACACTGACGTTCACTGCCCCTCCCCGATCGCAATGGACAGCATGCACACACCTTCAATAGACAGCAATGGCAATGTATATTTACCTTAAGGTACATTAATAGAAAAAGCTGTATTAATAACATTACTTACTTAATAATATTGTGTCTCAGAGAGGAATATGGATACATTATATTATTAGGGTCTGCATAGTGATTGTGTGTGTGTATATTGGAATGCCTTTTGTACAATTTCTTCAGTTGTCTGTTTTATTAACTCATTAATCTTGTTTTATTAATTAACTCATTAGACATGGCATGCTGTACAATACAATTATGTTAAAAATAAGTAAAGTTATATATATATATATATATATATATATATATATATATATATATATATATATATATATATATATATATATAAAGTGTTTTTAACTAAATATTGTTTTGTTTTATTTGGTTTGCACAAGTACTTGCTGAATTATTTCAATGAATAAATTGCAATACTTCAAGAGTAATTAATTAAATGCATCAATTCCACATTATTTCATTGACCAGAAACAAAAATATAACATTATACTAAATTCATTATTTTTTTGTGTGCCACCCCAAGATTTGGTATGGCCTCTTCGGGACACTCCTAAGAAAATTTTCTGGGGGCGCCACTGATGGTTCCCCAAACATCTCTCGAGTATCTGTGAAACAGACGTTAAACAACAAACACTATGTTGTAAACACTGACACCGTGTGTTAGAATTTAGTATCACACCTGCTCTTCTAATTGACTGCCATAGTAATGTGCACGGAAACCAAAATGACAAATAAAATAAACTCTGTACATTCTATCAATGCGTTAACTGCGTTTTCTGTTTACAGATGGACAGTGTTTTCAGTGGATATACGCAGGAGGTGATTTAAACGGGGTTTGGGGGGCCCCCTAATTAATTGACCACCCTATTTAATAATTTTTATCCCCCTTGAAGGAAATCAAAACCGGATGTATGGGGAGGTTTTCCCTTTAAATAGTTTGCTCTGATCTGTACCTTAATTAATAATTCTATTATTAAGATGTCAATACTTTTGACCACCGCATAACGGTTCATCCTATTTTCGATGCATAATCGTGCCAGTCAGTCTATGTGAGAAGTCATTCAACAGTCTGAAACTGCAGATCAAGAGACTTTATTTTCTGTAAAACATGAGTTGGTATCTTCATATATCTTAAAAGTAAAAATTAGATGTATAGTTTGACCTACAGTAACCTCTAAAATAGCTAATCAGAGGTGACTCAAGGCCAGAATACACTAAATATCCCTCAAAACATGAGCATGTATTACAGAAACCAACACAAACTCACCCCCAGCCCTGATCATCAATGTATGATTTGCACCCTGAACATAGGCCAGAACATCTCCGTGAGGGATAGTTCACCCATGATCGAAAATGTCCTCACTATTTACTCATGTTCAAGCGGTTCAATTGTCAGTTTCTTTCCTTTTGTTGAACACAAAACAAAAATATTTTGAATAATGTTGGAAAAAAGCCCAAAATACCATGGCTGTTTCTTTCCTGTGTTTAACAGAAGAAAGGAACAAGTGGAGAATGTGGAAATGATGCCAGAATTTGCATTTGTTTGATGAACTAAGCCTTTAAATTGGGATGGATCTGGATGTTTAAAGAAGAGAAGATGCTAATGGAGTTCTTATAACAAGCTTTTCTTAAATTGCTTGAATCCAGCACCAAAATAAATAAAAATGATATATTTACATTTCCCAGAGATGGGTTGCGGCTGGAAGGGCATCCGCTGCGTAAAAACTTGCTGGATAAGTTGGCGGTTCATTCCGCTGTGGCGACCCCGGATTAATAAAGGGACTAAGCCGACAAGAAAATGAATGAATGAATGAATGGATCCATTTACAAAACTATACTAAATCTTTAGACTCATCATGGGTCAAAGACCCCTCTATATATCATGCTATCATCCTAAATCAGGGGTCACCAACCTTTTGATAACTGAGAGCTACTTCTTGGGTATTTAGTGTGAAGGGCTACCAGTTTGATACACACTTCCTAATAACAAATTTGCTCAATTTACTTTTAATTATATGTTATTAATAATTAATGATATTCATCTATGTGAAGACACTGATCATGTTAATGATTTCTCACAATAGTTGTCAACAATGATTGGAAACAGATAAATATCAACCAATGCAAGTGTGATTTAAAAAGAATAGCTAAAAAAATATTAGATGCAGCGGTATGTGGTGCTATGGTGAGCTAATTTTATAACAGGGCCACGGGCAACTCATGTGATCCTCGCGGGCTACCTGGGGCACTATGTTGGTGACCCCTGTCCTAAATATTGTCAGGTTATTTAGTACAAGAATCAATTGATGATATATAAATGACTCAGAATGCATTGAATGTTATATTATGAAAATGACAACAAATGATTTTGTTACTAAAATTGAACTTAATATTTTGTTAAGTTTGATGTAAGCTGAGAAAAGTGTAAGTGATTAAACTAAAACATTAGTCTACTCTGCATGAGTGTTTGTCAGAGTGTACACTGAATGACATTCTGACATTATTCATTCATTCATTTGCTTTTCGGCTTAGTCTCTTATTTCATCCATATTTTGACATTTTATTTCAGAAAAGTTTTTGGAAACATTGAACCAGATGCGTGCTTTTAATACTAATTTTACTTTGACGCAGACACCAAAGTGAGGTGTCTCATCTTTAAGCTTAACAGGATTTAAAATGGTTGCAGGATGCATTTAACATTCTTAAAGAGAAATGAAACATTCTCACTCAAAAAATGGATATCTCCTCAAGTGGCTCTAAACTTTCATGATTTTATATCCTGTCGAACTATCCAAGTCTACGGCTATTTTTGCCCGCAACATTTTCCAAAATATCTTCTTTTGTGTACAATGGATCAGAAAAACAGGTTTGAGTGGAGAAAAAAAGGAACAATTAGGATTTCTGGGTGAACTACATCTTTATAAAACATTATCCTAGTTTTTGATTAATAATTTAATTAAAGCTAAGAAGGTTGAAGCTTTTATCCCGACAGCCATGAATAATGTTTTCATTACAGATGTTAAACACTGCAAAACACTGACTGACCTCAAAAAACAGATCAAAGCTTTTTCAATCTCAATCAGATTATTATAAACAACTGAACTGGTTGAAAATGAAAGGTGTGCAGTGATTGTTTTTCTACCAAAAGTCTAAACAAAGTGAAGTTTCACAAACTAATTTCGATTTCAAATTTAATATAAATATCCAGCCTTAACTTCATTCCTCATATTTGTTTTGGATGAACTCTTGAAATACACTTTGAATGCTGTCATAACAGATTAATCCGCATAAAGGACGAACCAATATTCACTGAGGAAACTTTAACCACTAAAACCACTGGTTTTCATTCATTTATTTTCTTGCATTCGGCTTATTCCTTTTATTAATCAGGGGTTGCCTCAGCGGAATGAACCACCACCTTATCCAGCATATGTTTTATGCAGCAGATGCCCTTCCAGCTGCAACCCAACAATAGGAAACACCCATACACTCTTGCATTTAAACACATACACTGCAGACAATTTAGCTTATTTAATTCACCTATACCACATGTTTGGACTGTGGGGGAAACCGGAACACCCGGAGGAAACCCACCTGAACACAGGAATGTGGTTTTAATTTATGAAAACTATTAAATGAGCCGAGTTTCCAGGGTTTCTGCAAATGAAATTTAAGACCTATATGAGTGAAATTTAAAATGAAGGGGTAAACACTTAGAATTTTTTGAATGACCCGGTTGCTTCTGTAAATAGTTTACGTAATAAATGGAAGATCATGTAAAGGATTGGGTTGCTTTAATTTTCTTTCCCTGATTAGGGAATTTAATTGGAAGAATTTGCTGCAAAATTGTCTAACAGCAGTTGTGAACGGCATCTCTTTGCCAAAAAAAAACAACAAAAAAAACGTGTGTATGTATGTATGTGTCTATATATATATATATATATATATATATATATATATATATATATATATATATATATATATATATATATATATATACATATAAAGTTGAGATTGATTACAGGTGTCTTGTCTATAGGTCACCTGTCTTCCCCTGAAATCTGTGATGTTTGTGTATGGCTGGAGGGGTCCAATTTCGCTGCATGCATCTTCATCATCATCAGGTGATTGGGCATCAGCCAGATTGGGTAGTTTTACTTGGAGAAAGATAAATTAAGACCTGTTTAAAATGATTCAAGATCTACAACACAATATTTCTGTAAATTTAAGACTTTAAGGCCTAAAATTTAAGACATTTTAAAACCCTGCGAAGACCCAGAGTTTCACATTTTAAAAATTGAAAACCGATTTTGCACCAAAAATAAGTAGAAGTACAACAGATTCTCATTAAAATGAAGATACATTTTATTTTTTTCTTAAAAAAAAACAAACAATACAAAAAAATCTGAGGAGGAATAATGAAACAAACCAACCAACCAATCAAAAAAATAAAATAAAAAATAGTTTCAAATTAAAATCAAGCACGAAAAACAAAACATTCATGTTTTTGGACAGCTAGGTTAAAAACCAATTCATAGACAGCACAAGTGGAAAATATTCAGAGACGCCTGGCAGAAAGGATCGAACCGTGTTAGAATGCCATGTATGCGCTGTAGACGGAAAAGCCCCCCCTAAAATGCACCATGGGATACAAATCAAACGTGTCTGGAATAAAAAAAAAAAAAGCAGCAACTGAAATATATATACGAGCAAACACACAAAGTATGAATAATACAATTCTTCTCTATCCTCACAGTGCACATGCGTCACGACAGCACATCTGATCCAGGGCTAAAGGACAACACTCGACTCTTTAAAACGTTAGTTGCGCAGTTGAAGAGATCCCTCAACGTTTGGCAATACAATCTCAGGACGAAAAGGGCACGAGTCAAAAAAACACCCTCGCTGTTTGAATGTTTAGCTTCGCAGTGACTATTTAAACAAAAGAAACACAGGCTTTGTAAGGCAGAAAGTGTGCGAGACCTTAGATTACAATTAACCGTTTTAAGGCCCAACTCGCACTGCGCCCCTCGTTTGAGAAAAGAGATGAAAGCATTCATACTGCAGCTTCTAGAAGAGATGATCAAGAAAATATATCTATAAAATAAACAAACGTACATTACAGACATCAGAACATGATTCTTGAAGGAATATTTACGGCTTAAAAGGAGTTTAGCTTGATGCATGTTGGTGACCAGCGAAAATAGTTTTGCAAAAAAAAAACTTGCACTTAAAAATGGAGCAAACATCGCACATTTATCATGTTTACTCCCATTTATAGTGTGCAACGAACACAATCAAAAATATTTTCCTAATGACAACGTGACATATTACTCTATTAAAATACTAAATGCATTATGGTTCACAACTACACGGATAGAGAAGGTTTATTTAAAAAGGGTAAAACTAAAATTGAGTCGCAAACCCTGGATAACATGTGTACGACGTTGACGACGACGACAAAAGTAATTGTGAAAACATGAGCATTAGATACCAGTTTCTCCATCTTTAACCGCAAAGAGCAGTGAGCGCATGTGGAATAATTACAAAAACGAACCACTAGTTATAGAAAAATGCTGTGAACTATTACGAATTGCGAAACTTCCTAACGAATGGCTTCCTAGAGAGAAATCACTAATACACAAAAGCATTGGACCTCATTCAGAAACATTGTCGCAAAACTACTCATACGTAAAAATGGGTTTTTATTTTTTCCGTAAAATTGTTAGAAATTCGGATTTATGAACTAAATTTCCAATTGTGTGTAAATTGGAGTAAATGAACTGTGAAGGTTTATCGATTTGCAGCCAAACACGCAATTAAGTTTTAAAACGCAACCTCATGGCTATTGCAATAATTCACGTAAGAATAGTTTTACGAATATTTTCAGAAACGTGCTTCAAGAAAGAGGACCATCAGTCGCAACAATGGCAAGTGGACGTTAAGCTTTATAATACATGTTACAGAAATGAACGAGCGCAAAAAGCATTATTAATATTTTTTTGGAGAGCACAGTCATGTGATTACCCCTGGGCGAGCAGCGACGCTATTGGTTGGAACGATGGGCTTCCCTCAAGATTATATACCCATAAATAAACAGACTCAGACACATTTTACTCAATAATATATATAGATATATACGCTCACAAGTTCTGGGAAAAGTCCTTTGCGATATGGAAAATACAGGCCAAAAGAAAAAAAGAAAAGAAGTTCAAACCGTTGAGCCAGGCCACAACAGACACTGAAAAAAAAATATCTGAAAAAGCAAACAAACTCAAAAAAATAAACTGAAATAAAAGCAGAGAAGGGGAGAAGAGAGTGTAAAGGGAAAGAGAAGAAAGGGCCGCTGTTATTAGCATGGCTAGTCTTCCCCGGATGGAGCCTCCTCTTCTGAGCCGTCCTCTTCTTCATCTTCTTCCTCGTCTTCGGGGGCTTCATCCTTCGTCTTTTTGGATGGAGGAGACTCTTTCTTCTCCACCTCGTCTTCCTCTTCATCTTCAGCGGGACTCTCGGCTTCCTCTTCATCTTTAGGCGAGGATTTCTCCAGCGCTTTAGCTGCGCTCGGGCGCCCTTTACCTTTGCCTTTCATAGGGCTGGGGTTCACTGAGGGACAAACAGACATGTTAGCACTACTGTTCAAAACTTTTACGTTCATATTTGCTATATTTTAGAACAGAAAAACATGCACACATGTTGTTTTAACTGATTATTTAATTAAGAATTAGATACTATTTATCATATCTGCCCTTTATTTTCCCAAATCCTAAATATTCAAGAGTGCTATTGCTTACCTGTAGCCTTTAGCCGGGGTTTGGGGGATTTCTTCTCCTTCTTCTCCACTCTCCGTCCTCCACCTCTTGGCACCACTTTTTTGCCCTTCTTTTTGGAGTGGCCATAATCGCTGTCATCATCATCATCAACCATGAAGTCTTCATCACTGCCTGACTCTTCTGCAGCACCAAAAAAAAATTGAAGATTCACATTTTAAGAGAGACCACTTGGAAATTCACAGCTTCTCTCATATTCATTCATTCATTTTCTTGTCGGCTTAGTCAATTTATTAATCCAGGGTCCCCACAGCGGAATGAACCACCAACTTATCCAGCAGGTTTTTACGCAGTGGATGCCCTTCCAGCCGCAACCCATCTCTGGGAAACACACACACATCTCTCATATACAATTTAGAGAAACACTTTACAGTAAGGTTGTATTAGTAATGCATTACTATCATGAACAATACATTACATATTTGTTCATGCAAGTTAATGTTAGTTAATGAAAATACAGTTGTTCATGTTACAGTACATTAACTAATGTTAACAAGCATGAATTTGGATATCAATAAGGCATTTGGAAAAAGTGATTTACAAATAATGAAAATGTACAAGTATTGTTCATACTCCTATCATGATAGTAAATACATCAACTAATGAAACCTACTTGTTCGCATGTAATGATATTCATTTATTTCTTCTAACTAATGATAAATTCTTCCTAATTTAAAATAGCAATGCCATTTAGATTTTTTTTGCATTAAACTAGTGTCGTCACGATACTGGAATTTTAAAAACGTAAGAACGGTGCGTTCTAAAACAGCGCTGATTTGCCATCGTGTTCTCGTGCTCAACAGAAATGACTGTGACTGGTTGTAAAGGTCATCAGTCCACCAAACTCACCTCAGTTTATGGAGTGTAACCACAGATACAGGGAACTGGAGCGTATTAAAGCCGCGAAGATCTCATAGTCTATTAAATCAGCTGACATCCGAGTGATCTGCTGATGAATGGACTGATCTTCATGGCTTTAAAATATTCCAGCGTCCCTATATCTGTAGTTACACAGTATACAGCGGTGAGTTCAATGAACTGATGACTGAACATAATGGCAAATCAGCGCCGTTTAAGAACGCGCTGAAATGTTAGCAGGTTTCAGTATGCAGGAAAATTTCAGTATGGAATGGTACCGTATTCCAGTGTTGACAACACTACATTAAGCTGAAGATAAATCAATATTTGGTTAAATAGCACCAAATGAAACTTTGTTATTTAATTATAATCATCTGAAGAAATGGTCCAAATGACAATATTTCCACTTGAAATTTGGGAGAAATTACTTTTATGGATTTAAGTGAAATGCTGATATTATTTGTAACCTATATGTAGAAAAAAAAACAGAGAAACAGGATTTTGAAGTGGGCACACATACAAATATAAAACATTTTCTGTACAGCATCAGCGGTGTGACGTTTTTCTACATACTACCCTAATAATCTATTTATTCAATTTTAAAAAGAGAATTAGCAAGCTCAAATCTATATTTAAAAGTTTATGTTATTCAAAATCAGTGACATTTTAGTTTTGGATCCGTCATATGTGCTTGTCCATTACTGGTTCAACAATTAAATGTTTGGATATAGATTTTTGTTTTATCATCTGCTGGGAAAAAGCAGTATATTTTTAAGGGATAGTTCACTCAAAAATGAAAATTATGCCACTATTTACTCTGCCTCGTTCCAAACCTGTTTGTTAAACACGAAAGAAGATATTCTGAAGTATGCTGTAACCACTGACTTCCATAGTAAGAAAAACAAATACTATGTAAGTCAATGGTTACAGGTTATGGTTGCAGCTTTCTTCAGAATACTGTCTTTTGTGTTAAACAGAAGTCAGTCAACGGTTTAGATCCACTTAAGGGTGAGTAAATAGTGAGAACATTTTCCTTTTAGGGTTAATTCACACTAGGTACAGTTGTCTTGAACCGTGCCAAAACACGCTTGATCCCCCCTCCCAACAGCCTGCACTCATTGCATTTTACTTTCCGAGCCGGGGCACACTTTCGTCATTGATGCAACCGTTCAGTTTAACTGGAAGAAACGTGCTCTCGCTCAGCTTTAAGTCACTTGGGATGCAGTGACACGCAGTCAAATACTATAAAGTCATTGCGTAATAAACTATGACAGTTTTTGTTCATTGAGCAGTAAGAATAATTAATAAATCCATATCAAACAGTCCCTTAAAAGTCACGTCTCGTCTTTAGTTTCGGGCTCAGGCGCCTTTTGCACTCACACTACAAGTGTATTAAGTCTAACAGAACCTCATTCTGGCACACCTCTTCCAACTTGGCCAGGATTGGCCAACTGAACCACGCCTGGACCCGATTCGTAGCACGCACGCTGTGTTCACACCAGACACGGAGCGTGCGGATAAATCGTACGTAAATAGCCGTGTGAAAATTTAAGTTTACTCGCTTCATTCGCGCATCAAATCCGCTTAATTCGCTCATCAAATTCACTTCAGAACAGACGCGGATTCGCATGATGAGCAGGGCTTCTGTCTGCCCATAACTCTAGCTTCGTTGCTAAATGGCTAACATGGATTTTTTTTTTTTTTTTTAAATAACAGTGTTTGTGCTTTATGAAGGCTGAAAAAACAGCGTCGATACGTTTAGGGCCGTGTCTGAGTCCACTAGATCCCTTCAAAGGTGAATCCAGCTCTGTGAGCTCAAACTCCTCCAGAAACTTAACCTGAATGACGGAGGCTTTCAGCGGTGCTTCTGACTGAGCCGAGCCCAGTTTGATGAACTGTTGTAGGCGTCAGCTTGAGGATTTCCCCTGGGACACCAACAACAGGCCCTCGTCACAATTACGCTCCCACAAGAGCAAACTCCTGATTGGTTAAGGCGGGGCGAATATCCGCTTAAGTTCAGATTTTAAAACTTGAGTGATTTGCGCAAAACGTGCAATTCGCGCATTGAATTTGCATTGACTTAACAGTAAATCACTTGTGCTTGACGCACCTTCCGCATATGGTGTGAACACAGCATTACACTTGGTCAAACCGGGAAACGCACCTGGGCACAATTTGGACAGACTAGTGCACCCTTAAATGCCTCAAGATTTAATTTACATAAAAACAAAAAGACTTTCTTCCCCACAAGCTTCAACAATGAGGAATTTTATAAAAGATAATGATGATGACACTTACGGTCCAGGAAGGCCTGTTCTTCCTCATCCTTCTCCTCATCCTCACTGCCTCCGTCTCCCAGCAGGATTTCTCTCTGTTTGGACACAGCCTTTGACGCAGCCTGTCTCACCTGCCTCGGTTTCCTGCTCACCTCTTTATCATCATCACTATCATCTGCAGAGGACACACAATTGTCAAAAACACACACAAATACATCATTTATTCTCATTTAGTTGTGCGTTTCTACACCTATTCCAAATAGGCCTGTGAGAATAATTAATATATGGACTTACCACACAACACATGGACATGACCTCAATCATTTATGATGTTGCAATATATATAGTCCATACACAAAAAGCAATTCAAGCAACATTTTAGCTGATTGTGCATCATCTCCATCTCTATTGGAGGTGCCAACTGTCAGTATGGTTAAACACACTATACAGGGTTTCTGCTGATATCGTAATGTCAAATTTAAGATGTTTTAAGACCATCAAGTATTCAATTTAAGACCTATATTACAATATCAAAAACACGCATGCACCAAGAGAAAATGCAAAAAAAAAAAAAAAAAAAATTTCACAAAATTACTGAAGACAGGTTAGATGCAACATTGAACTAGAGGAAAAAAAACAAACAAACATCTTAAGGCTGATTTTTACTTTCCCCTGGCTCCGCATCATGCACCTTCGCTGACTGCGCACATACGTTAAACAGACGAGGCTCTTTAAAATGACAGGGGTGGTTAAAAGAAAGCCACCATAAAGTCAGATGGATAAACAGAGAAACAACTCAAATGAAACGCAGCACCGCACGAACTATTCGCACGAGTCACAAAATATTTTGTGCGCTTGGCCAGCCGAAATCATGCCGTTTGCACCCAAAGCAAACCACTGCAAACTCTGCAATGACGTCACATTCGCCGAGCGCACTGAGTTCAATAACAGAAAGCTGATTGGCTGTTGCATGTTGGCCTCATTTGTAGTTGTAGTTGTACCACAAATTAAATTTGGACTAGTGAAATAAAGAACTACAACACCACGAAAACAAAGCAACAACAACAAAAATAATTTAAATGAGCATTAAATGTTGCATTACATGGACATCATGTAAAAATATTTAAGACCTAAAACAGCAAATTTTAAAACTTTAAGGCAAAAAATTTAGATTTTTTAATTTTAGACTTAAGACTTGAAGACCTCGCGGAAAACCCACTATAGTATTTTTCTGACAACTGAAAACACTGTAGATCTGGTAGCAGATATCGCAGCCTCTGTTCCTCTTCACCTTGCACTTTTTTGTTAACATTTATTATTTATTTAGGTTATGCGTTTTCACACTTGATTCCAATGGCCGATTATTAAACTGTTAAAAATGACTATAATTAAATTATCTATTCCTAAGAATAAAATATGTGTTCTTTGGAAGTGTGCACTTGCATTGTGATGATATTATATTTTCAATCTGGCAATATATAATAAGATGACAATAATGTCATTCATCAATTTATTTTGTTGCAATATAATCGCACAACAGACAATGGATATCATGACAGGCCTACATCCAAAGTCAAAATTGAGCATGTTGCAGTTGCATTTTCTAAATTTTTCAGCATTATGCTAGTGTGGCAAATAACATATATGAAAAACTGTAGATTAATATTTAAGCACTTAAGGATTTCTGTTACTACACTGTGTTACATGATCTATTACTTAATCGGTGACAATCAGATGGTCTTAAATAGGCGGTTATTGTTGAAAATAAGACTAGCCTTTATGCTGATAGCTTAGCACCTGCCGCTTCATGCTTTATGCATGAGAGTTCAAGGGAAAGTGACATTTTTTTTAATGTCGATCTGCGACTTACCTCCACCTCGTTTCCTCTTCAGTGACTTTTTGCCAGGCTTCTCCACCTTTGGCTTCTTTCCCTTTTTAGCCTTTTTATCACCATAGTCGCTTCCTCCATCTTCCTCCTGCTCTTCTCCAAAGTCGTTGTCTTCATCGCTACCGAAGTCATCTGAAAGACCAGAAGACGCTCATTACATTAAACTCTTTCTTTCTGGATCAAATTAGAGCTGCACAACATTAAGCATCGATATTGCAATGTGATCATTCGAAATAGTTGCATCACAGGATGTGCAATGCTAAATCTGTATTGTAATGTATAATTAGCATGTGTTTAACACCTCTGACCTGTATGAGGATTTTAAAAGCATTCAGATTTAAGAAATTGTATAATTTGTAACTTTATTAATGATTGAATTTATTGAAATATTTATCCCACGAAGACCATGCAGAATTGATTATTAAAATTACTGTATATATGAATACTGTAAGACTCTTAACACCTTATTCTATGTGTATAATTTCTTTATTGGATTTATCTATGCTAGTTGATTGTTTATTATATGTTATGCAGATGATTCAGATCTACAGAATCATCCAATCAGTCAAAAACTTAAAATGCTTTCCAGTTAGCAATATTCAAGTCATCTGGTGAAATTGTATTCATATCATAATATCCATTACAGAATAAGAAAATAATCGCAATGTTTCGATTATTTGAAAATGAATCAAAATCAATATTCAGACCCTATAATCAATCTAATTTCTCCAGGTCGTTTTTTTTTTTTCAATTAATTTCCCTATCGTGTGTGGAGACATGTGACCCCACTTGTGTGTGTGGTCGCATACCCATGCACCTTTCAAAAAAATGAAACTAAACGTCACAACGATGCAGAGCAGAAGCTGTGATTGGTCGGTTTGGTGGTGATGACGAGCGCAGGTGGCGCTGAGAGCTGCGGGACAGCCGTGAGCTCGTTGGAGCAAGTGTTTAGTGTTGAGTCTCGTGAAGGAGCTCCAGTTTTTTTTTTTTTTTTTATAAGAAGTTCGTTTTAGGTAATGTGAATTTCAGTTGTTTAAAGTTGATATCCAGCAAATAATAGATTGAAGATAGTTTGTGTTTCTTTCAATTATGTAATAATCAAGTAATGCATCCTTCATTCAGAAGTCCCTCACTTGTAATATGCGAGCATATTTACTGTCAGGGTTTATACAGTCATGGAAAATCTGATTAGACATTAACAAAAGTGAACAATTTCTCCATATTTTAAATTGCTTATTTAAAATTATCTTCCATTGGTCTCACGCGATCACCTGATGTGATTTCACAGGTAAGAATTCGCCAAGCTTGAACTTTCGAACGCAGTGAAATGCAAAACACGTGCTTGCGAATGGAGCAGGCCAGAAACGCATGCCTATGAAGTCTATGGAGCGAAAAGTGCAGAGTAATCACAGCTTTAAAAGAGAAGCAATTTTACCTACTCTTAGCAGTTTAACAAACTATTAAGATTACTAAATTTAGTTTGACACATAACTGTTTACTGGAATGGAGGTTAGTTTTTACTTCTTTTCTTGGCCAAAAACATGCTCTCACATTATTTTATACAGATATTAAAATTAATTGAAACTAACTGCGTGTTTTATGATATGCTGTAATAAAATGTAAACGTTTCTTCTGATTTACCATGTATATGTAAACATTACATGAAATATTAAGTCATGAAAAATTGACTCCCGGTAAAAAGTTATGGAATTTTTGTAAAAAAACAAAAACATGTGTATGAACCCTGCCTGTACAAAACCAGTCAGTGAACTATGAGGGCAAAAAGATAAATAATAAAAAAAAAAAAATTAATAAAACAATCATTCATTAATCGTAATAGAATTAAAATACTCAATTAATTAATATTTAGATTTTAGGCAAAAATCACCCAGGCCTGATCAATATAGTGCAGCCCTGGAGATAAAGATAAAGCGTAATTTACCTGCCGAATCATTTTTGGATTTGGTCAGTTTTTCATCTGAATCCTCGCTGTGGGGAAAAATCAGAAAACATTCGTTAGCAGTTTGATCCTTGAAGGAGAATGTCCTTGTATGTGGCATTTTTTCCTAGTTATAATTAACCGTTGCATATGTGGGTCACAAGGAGAAAATGGATCTCAAAAAGGTTTACCATGTCTAGAGATCGGAACATGCAAAAATCTCACAGTTGGACATGTATTAAATAGATTTACAAGGCATTATTCATATTTTGCCCTTAATAAATCATGGATTAGTTTATTTGGTAAACACTTGCTACTATTGTCTATGAATATATTTAGTAGTACATTTATAACACATATATATATATTTATAACATCTCTGTGTGTGTGTGTGTGTGTGTGTGTGTATGTATGTATGTATGTATGCATATATATATATATATATATATATAAATATATAAATAAACACACACACAATACCCCATTGCACATTCTTTGTGAACCTTGATTATATCTCTGAGCACATTTTACATTTATTTTGATAGCGTGCTGAAAATAGACAGATTCTTGCCTTTCTTCCTGCGAATTCTTAGACTTCTTGTGCTTGTTTTCACGGGGTGGAGCACGTATCTTCTTGGTGGTTTCCTTCTCCTTTCTTCCATAATCCTCATCTGGAGGCAGAAATTGAATTAATTATACAATTAAAGAGCATGACACACAAATAGATTATGCATGAGAGGTCATCAAACGACTTGCAGAGCAGTAATAAGCAAACATGAGTACATTAACAGTTTCCTGAAAGTTAATGCAATGCATTTTAGAGGTGGTTTAATTACCTGCATCATCAGATTCGTTAAACTGGGAGTAATTCACCACCTTTCTGTTCCTGTAAGACAAAAAAATATGTATGAATACATGCAAAACATCTTCCCAATGACACATTTGTGAGCAGAGCGACGTTAATTCCTGTTTTAAAGGCTCACTGAATTTCTGAAAGTGGTCAGCATTTATTCAGGAAACGAAAAGCTCGTTTAACATGCCTTGCTTCATTATGTTTACTTGAATTAATGATCGTTAAACAGTTCCTCAATTAGCATTTCAATGAGGGTTTCATTAATACTGCAGTCTTGTCCCATTTAACCACTCAGGCCCGACTCGGTGTTGAGAGGACTGAAAAGCCACAAGTTACTTTAAATGATTCAATTTCTGGATTAGAACTTGCAATAATTCATAATAATCAATTTAGAAAGGATGACAACATATAAACAGTAATCTACACATTTATATTTAATCATTCTGAGTAAAAACTGGTTTATTAGTTTCTGATAGTTTTTTTTAAAAAACCATTAAACTATTGTTAGCGGTAACATTTAGTGAAAAATACTTCTAATTGTTAACCGATTGAGCAAAAATATTTGGATTTGTTCTACCATGGCATCAATAGAGACCTCTAAGAAAATTTTCAAAATGTGTCAATTGATTTATATTTAAAACCCTCTGATGGTTTAGTCATTTATTCCTAGTTCGTTCCCATACATTTTACTTTTAGCAGACATCATAATGGTTTGCACTTTTTGTGAGATATCAATTTCAAATTTGGTGCACGACTTCAGATTTGTGATTGTTTTGGACTGCACAAACTCTGCCAAGTGATTCTAAAAAAAGTGCAAAGTTATGTTCTGAGCTCCAAAGCATTCAAAATTTACAAGAGATTAAATTAGAAACTGTTAAAAATCACACTTAAAATGGGTTAAGAAATTAATTAAAACTACTATATAAATATATTTTAATATTCTAAAACCCAATTACCATACAAATTCATCTGTTTTCCATTTTAATTTAAGAAAAACTTGACCCCCAGACAAGAATAAATATCGGCTGACATTTTAAATTTAAAAACTAAATAATACATACAGCTCTCTCTCTAAATATATATATATATATATATAAATATACATATATATATATAAATATACATATATATATATATATATATATATATATATAAATATACATATATATATATATATATATATATATATATATATATATATATATATATAAATATACATATATATATAAATATACATATATATATATAAATATACATATATATATATAAATATACATATATATATATATATATATATATATATATATATAGAGAGAGAGAGAGAGAATGAGAGAGAATGAGAGAGAATGAGAGAGAATGAGAGAGGTGTGTGTGCCTGTAGGTATGTATGTATGTATATATATACATACAGTTGAAGAATTATTAGCCCCCATTTGATTTTTTTCTTCCTTTTTTAATATTTCCTAAATCAAACTTCACATTGTGTCTGAAAATATTTTTTCTTCAGGAGAAAGTTTCATTTGTTTTATTTCGGCTAGAATAAAAGCAGTTTTTAATTTTTTAAAAGCCATTTTAAGGCCAAAATTATTAGCCCCCTTAAGCTATATATATTTTTCGATAAGAGTTCAGAACAAACCATTGTTATACAGTAACTTTTCTAATTATCCTAACCTGCCTAATTAATCTAGTCAAGCCTTTAAATGTCCATTTAAGCTTTGTAGAAGTGTCTTGAAAAATATCTTGTAAAATATAATTTACTGTCATCTTGGCAAAGATAAAATAAAGCAGTCATTAGAAATGAGTTATTAGAACTTAAGAAATGTGTTGGAAAAAAGTGTTATTTCCGTTGAACAGAAGTTGGGGGAAAAATAAACAGGGGGGCTTATAATTCTGACTTCAACTATGTATATACACACATATACATTCACAGACCTTTCTCTAAATATATCTGTCTGTCTATCTATCTATACACATACATAAACACCCCCTCTCTCTGGAGAGGTGTGTATGTAATATATATATATACATACATACATACATGTATGTGTGTATATATTTCTAAATTATTTTATATACAAATAGTTCAAAATACCATATATTTTTTACAAATTGTATGTAAATTAAAACATCACATTGGATAAACACTTTTGTTTTCTTCAAATTGTGAAATAATTTGTTTAATAATTAAAATAACTTCGCGAACTGAAGTCATTTTCGAACATATTAACAAGATTACTATGGCGAATGTTTTACTAAGGCCTTCGCGCGACATTTTTTCTCTGTACAAACGACACAGCCTACGTGAAGACGACGCGCGGCATTTCCCCTATTTGTATAACATTATACCGTATTCTGTAGACGCAGTTAACAAACATTCATATGCAGTAATCAATTTATGTCGTTTAAAATCAAAACACGAAGATTAAACATCGAATTAGGTGCACGTTTTGCACATAAGAAACTCCACACGGGAGGTGTGGTCGCTCTCAGGCACCCCGCCCCCCTCTGACGTCACCCGCGTCGTGTTAATTTACCGCTATCGAAAAAAAACCAAAAAAGCGCTTTCCTTAAAAAAAAACACCAACGCGCTTTCGCAATCTATTGTTTCCGCATAAACCGTGCTGTTCGCCCAAATATGTGCGCATTACAGGTTGCAAAAATCACACGAACGGGCCAACGAGCACCTCCAGCGGGATTTTATTTCCCCTCCTGAAGCTCTGGCGAGGATGAATGGGAAGCCATATTCTCACTGGCTTACAAGGAAACATGAAGCCTTTTTCAGTGCCTCTCACACTACACATATAATCTGAAATCTAGGTAGGTGATGCACAAGAAACATCACGCTGCAGAATCCCGGTTAATGCGGATTTTAACCGTGCATGGTGTAGCCACGAGCATAAAACACAGCCCTTCGTCACTGGGGAAGAAACAACGAGCAAAATGCATGCACGAACGAGCCAAAATGTTACAAAATCCGAGCGCTAAACAAGAAGCTAAGGATGCCTGGCACATGCGTGAAGCCTAGTAGCCAGCGTGCATGCAGTAGCCATCAGTAGGACGAATGAAACCCACGTACCTCACTGGTCTTGCCATTTTGCAGGAATACTGTAGCGGTTAAAATTGTGAAAAGGAGCCAAAGAAAAGCAGGGTAAATGCAAACAAAACGTGGTGTTTTTAAAACACAAGGGGGCACGTCGAAAAAACCAACGTCCTCTCCCTGTGACGAAAACTAAACAATGCTGGAGGTATTCCTGCTCTACGAAGGTATTTAGTTTAAATATTACCTTCAGCTACTCAAAATGGTGAATAAAACAAACTGAAACTGCAGCCTTCGCGCAACCTAACGATTGGACGGAAGGCGGGGCGTGTTCGTTCAAACCCCGCCCGCTTGGTCAGATTTGCCCAGAGAGCGACGCCATTGGCCGGTTTGAACAGTTGTTTGATTTGTCATTGGTTTTCGAGGCTGTCTGTCAAACGTCGTGTCTCCAAAGCGTTTACCCTCCCCCTCGTTTGCGGATAGGTTGAACAGCATGGCTCAGAAACAAAAAGAGGCCCTTACGATATGCAAGATGTCCCAGTTTAAGTGTAGAACAACTTTGTGGTGCTTGTTTCCTTTGAAATGAAGTTGAAATCAGTGAATAAGCGCTTTATGCAAGCGACAGCACACGACTGAAGGTTTGAGAGCCCCAAATGAATCATTTTTGCTGACTTTTTGAGCTGAATTGTGTTCACAGCTAATTTATTTGACAACACTATTGCTAATATTATGCTAACTGTTATTAATATCATTTAACTTATTACAAATCATAATTTAAATGTACAATTTATTTATTTATTTGGACAACATATACATTTTTGAATCATTTCCTTAGCTTTTCACAATTCCCATTGCTCTCAGTGATGATTCCTACAGGATTATTCAATAGAAAAATAGCAAATCAAGATCCCTTTTCCCCCAGACCACCCTTAAATCCTGGGTTATTTATTTGATTCAAAGTGTTGCTCAGAAATGTTCTTAGTTTTTTTTCACTTTCAGATATTTTTTTCCCTAAAGTCACAAATGAATATGTAGTCTATAAAGGTTTACGTATAGGAACCAAGAAAGTAAGTTTTACATAGGCCCATAAGAACCAAATAATGATTTCCTACGGGATTATGCAATAGAAAAATAACAAATCAAGATATTTTTTCCACCTCAGACCACCCTCTAATCTATTTGCTTTCTTTTATGCCTTTAATTGAAAGTGTTGCCCAGAAATGTATTTAGTTTTTTGCTTTAAGATGTTTTTTCTCCCCAAATTCACAAAAGAATATGTAGTTTGAGGGGGTCTAGAAGGATTTACGTAAAATAAACCAATAAAGTAAAATTAACATAATCCTATAAGAACCAAATAATATTGATTTCCTACAGGATTATGCTGTAGAAAAATAACAAATCAAGATACTTTTTCCTCCCCAGACCACTCGTAAATCTGTTTGTTTTGTTTTATTTGTTTAGTTGAAAGCATTGGTCCGACATGTTCTTAGGGCGTACTCACACTATGTACAGTTGCCTTGTAGTGATGGGAAGTTCGGATCATTTTACTGACTCGGATCTTTGAGTCTCGTTCATCAAGATGAACAAATCTTTTTTTGAATCATTTCGTTAATTTAGTTCAATATGCAAAAATATTATTAAAATGTTACCAATTGCATCCAAACACATCTACAACTAGCCCAAAAGGTTGATCACACGACAAATAAGTCATAAATAGAATATAAGAAGAAGAAAATAATAATTCAATGTTTACCTGCTGTTTTGTCTATGAAGGTATTGTTGTCTCTTTGCTCAGCTCACCTCTTCATGTCTTTAAATGTCAGTGGTTTATTCACGTTACACTGACAGTCACATATAATGCACAGTCTAAGCCGATAGGAGCCATGATCGTTCGTTTATCACGTGACAGAATGACTCAAACCAGAGGACTTGAGAGATTAACGGTTCAATTCTTTTTCTGGCTCTAAACGCGTATGATTGGCCCATGAGGAACGAATGACTCAGACCCAATAGAGGACTCGAGAGATGAGCGAATAAATTTTTTTTTTCCGGCTCTAAACGCGTATGATTGGCTCGTGATGAACGAGTGACTCAGACCCGATAGAGGACTGGAGAGGGGAGCGGATCAATTCTTTTTCCGGCTCTAAATGCATATGATTGGCTTCTGCCAATATGATGAAGACTTGAAATTACTGATACTACCTGCACAAATGTGCGCACGCGCGGATAAACGAATCATTTCCTAAGAGGACTCGTAGTTCCCGAGTCATATTGAAGATTCGTTCAAAATGAACGAATCGTTGATGAACGACCCATCCCTATTGCCTTGAACCGGGCCAAAGCACGCTTGTCCCCTCCGACGGCCCGCACTCACATCGCATTTGAGCCTGAGCACACTTACATCATTGATGATGCGCTGTTCACATTACATTCGGGCCTGGGCACGCTTACGTCATCGATGATGCGCTGTTCATTAAGAAGCGCTCTCGCTCAGCACAGTGGAGATTTCTTTAGTTATATCGTTTAAGTCGTTTGATATGCAGTGACAAGAAGTCAAATATTTTGCAGAACAGATCAGCCCCTTTGACGTTCATGAACAATCATAAAGTCCTCGTGCTGCATGAATTAGGAGGTTTGCTGAAGGTGCAGCTGTCGTGCAATGAGAGGTTTGCGTCTTTAATAAACTACGACAATTTGCTTTCATTGAACAGTAAGAATGATTAATAAATTCATATTAAACAGTCCCTTAAAAGTCACGTCTCGCTTTCAGTTTCTCCCCAAAATCACAAATGAATATGAAGGTTGAGGGGGTCTATAAAGGTTTACATATAAGAACCAAGAGAGTAATTTTACATAGTTCTATAAGAACCAAATTATGCAATAGAAAAAAGTCAAATATAGACTTTTCCCCCCAGACCACCATCAAATCTCTTTGCTTTGGTTTATTTATTTGATTGAAAGCGTTGTTCAGAAATGTTCTTAGTTTGTTTTCACTCCTAGATATTTTTTCTCCCCAAAATCACAAATGAATTTGTAGTTTGAGGGGGTCTCGAAAGCTTTACCAAGAAAGTAATTTTACATACGTCTATAAGAGCCTAATAATATTAATTTCCTACAGGATTATGCAATAGAAAAATAACAAATATAGACTTTCCCCCCCAGACCACCCTCAAATCTGTTTGCTTTGTTTTATTAATTTAATTTCAAGGATTGCTAAGAAATGTTCTTAGTTTTTCACCTTTAGATATTTTTGTCTGGTTGAGGGGGTCTAGAAAGGTTTACATATAGGAACCAGGAAAGTAATTTTACATAGGCCTATAAGAACCAAATGATATTGATTTCCTACAGGATTATGCAGTAGAAAAATAACAAATCAAGATATTTATTTTTCCTCTGACCATCCTCAAATCTGTTTGCTTGCTTTTATGCCTTTGACTGAAAGCGTTGCTCAGAAATGTTCTTAGTTTGTTTTCACTTTTAGATATTTTTTCTCCTCAAAATCACAAATGAATATGAAGGTTGAGAGAGTCTAGAATGGTTTACGTACAGGAACCAAGAAAGTCATTTTACATAGATCTGTAAGAACAAACAATACTGATTTCTTCTGACATTTTACCCTGAAATATAACCTGGGGTAATAATATTCATTCATTCATTTTCTTTTCGGCTCAGTCCCTTTTTTAATCTGGGGTTGCCACAGCGGTATGAACCGCCAACTTATCCACCTTATATTTTACGCAATGGATGCCCTTCCAGCTGCAAACCATCTCTGGGAAGCATCCACACACACTCATTCACACTCATACACTTCGGACAATTTAGCCTACCCAATTCACCTGTACCGCATGTCTTTGGACTGTGTGGAAAACCAGAGCACCTGGAGGAAACCCACGCGAACGCAGGGAGAACATGCAAACTCCACACAGAAATGCCAACTGAGCCGAGGCTCTAACCAGCGACCCAGCGACTTTCTTGCTGTGAGGCGAGAGTTGGCGATTCATTCCGCTGTGGCGACCCCGGATTAATAAAGGGACTAAGCCGACAATAAAATTATTGATTGATTGATTTTTGCTATTTTTAAAAAACTTATTTAATATTTTTCCCCAACATATAAATTTGGCCTACCAATTTTTGAACCATTATTGTAAGTTATTTTGTTAGATAAGCTTCAGATTTGACTTCAGTACTGACTAATCTAATGTGTATGCACAAATAGAATATTGTAAAGTCCTATAGAAAATATTAATTTAACCCTCCTGTTGTGTTCACATCCTGCCCCTTACTTTCGTGTTTCCGGTCAAAATTGACCGGTCTGTTTTAACTGCTCTTATATTAGTACAAAAATCATTTTTCTCCACCAAATATTTTTTCAACATTCTTCCTGTCTCAAAGTATGTGTTTAACATGAATTTACAGAGTTAGGCATAAAATAACTGCAATGAAAATAAAAATAGGCGCTGAAAATATATTACATAATGAACAATAAATTACAGAAATCTAAATACTTTGTTTCATTAATCATAGCCAGCTCGCTGAAATAACTATAACAGGGTCTGACCTAAGAAATTGAAATTTTAATCCATCTGAATGATTTATCAACCAGCAAAGCACAAACAAAATGCTGTCCTTTCCTGTGTTCTGAGTAATCGAATTTTCAGTCCTTCAAGTGTAGTAAAATAGAGAATAGTGACTGAGGGTATATATGGTGAGCATGGACACAGAACTAGCACTAGATATACTTTAGTCATTTTTGAGGGAGATGATAATGGTCTAATATGGTAAAATAATTATTGCTAAATTAAGCTAAAAGTGCTCCTGCTAGACTCAGAGATTTGCTGAATGGAGATTGGCAGAAAGAAAGAAAGAAAGAAAGAAAGGGAAAAAGATTCCTTCTCTGTGCTTCTTTCCAGAGAGAAATAAATAAATAAATAAATAAATAAATAACCAAAAAGAATAAAACAAGAAAGAAAGAAAGAAAGAAAGAAAGGGAACAAGATTCCTTCTCTGTGTTTCTTTCCAGAGAGAGAGATAAATAAATAAATAAATAAATAACCAAAAAGAACAAAACAAGAAAGAAAGAAAGAAAGAAAGAAAGAAAGAAAGAAAGAAAGAAAGAAAGAAAGAAAGAAAGAAAGGGAACAAGATTCCTTCTCTGTGTTTCTTTCCAGAGAGAGAGATAAATAAATAAATAAATAAATAACCAAAAAGAACAAAACAAGAAAGAAAGAAAGAAAGAAAGAAAGAAAGAAAGAAAGAAAGAAAGAAAGAAAGAAAGAAAGAAAGAAAGAAAGGGAAC